GGTTTTTTTAAATGACAACCTTTATTATAGTGAAACATAAATAATAGTAATAATAATCTGTTAGAGATTTTTACGTAGAATTCTTAAATATTTTTCTGTAACTCTTGCAATTATTGAAATACAGACTCCAGAGAAAAACATACTTAACACGTGGTAATAAACAGAAGGTAAAAAATTGATAATAAATTTCATGTAACATAATATTTTAAGGGATAAATCTTTAAATTATATACTTTTAAATAAATATAAGCAAGTGAAGTAGTATAAACAAAATCGTTTAAGATCTTCGTTCCATTAGACTACACGTGTTATAGCTGTTTACACATTATTAGGATAATAACCTCAGATTGCAACAAAGTGCGGATAACTGGATAGCTTTGAACCCAGGTCAACTATAACATGTCACTGAATTACGTCTAATACAACTATGATATAATAAGATTCTGAAAAATAATCTAATATATAATAAAATTGTATTGGGTTCAAAATTGTATTTTATATATAGGTATATTGTATTATATTCAGCCTTGTTAACTCCTCACTGCTGGGCACAGGTCTCAATTCAATACGCTTGGGATCAGGCCATAGTCCATCACGCTGGCCAAGTGCGGGTTGGCGGACTGTATATGTCTTTCGAAAACTGGCTAGGTTTTCTCAGACATGCGTCATCCCAACGTGCGTTTACGCTTCAGTGGGCGGTGGGAGGTGGCCCGCTTCAGTGGGCGATGTACCATGCGGGTTGCTCCTGGTACTTCTCTGATAGCAGAGTGGACCTTGGAGCAACCCCGTGGTTGTTGTGGTCTGCTTCGGCAGACTTGCCGTCGGGGCGTCGTAGTTGAATGCGTAAGCGATCCTGCGACGCCCCATTAAGACGGGGGAAGGTTTTAGTAAGTAGTACTGGCTTCGCCGGTGAGTCCCACACCTCGTGCGTAAATGCATTTACCAACGTTAAAAAAAAAGGTTTTCTCAGACATGCAGGTTGCACGATGTTTTCTTTTACCGTAAGACAAGTGATAAAATCATAAATGATTCGTAGGTAGGAACATGAAAAAATCAGAGGTGCTAGACCCGAGATTTGAACCCACTTCTCTTGGTTTTGTAAGGGAGCGTGTTACCACAGAGCTACCACTGCACTGTACCTCTATTGAGAATAGAAATTTTTAAAATGATATATTTGAATCAGCCGGACGATTTTCATTGACTATTTTTATTGGAACATAGTTGGATATGACTTTCTAAAGGTTAACTTATATTTTCGATCGTGTATTTCCAAATACTGTCCGATCTATCTCTAGAATGTGTTTTCATATAAAGAATAATTTTTGTTTCATGGTTTTAAATTTTAAGAAACTAAGTATAGGTAGATAGTACCAGAGGAATATGAAAGGATTTTTTGGAAATTATTTATTGCTAAGAAAATAAAATTTGGCGCAAATTGCATCCCTAATTTAATATTTAAACAGAAGACCATGGACGAATTAGAGATGTACTGTACAAATAACACAATTCGCTTAGTTATTTCGTCAAATATCGATATATTTTTCGACATTGTCAAGCACTAGTCGATGTCAAATGGACTCACTCGACAGTTTTGTCATTTGTTCTGAATGGTATAATCCAGCCATTTTATGATGGTTGTCAGATGTCAACAATACATAGAAATATCGACTATATTTAACATAGTTGGATAATATGACATTTTATTTTACATTTAATTAAATTGTGTGATAAATAACAATAAATGTAATAAAATAATGTATTTACAAGTGAAAAGAAATACTGCTGCTTCCGCCGTTATAGTTTTTACATAATTTAACATAACATTTAGTCATTTTTGGGAGATGTTTTGTTGACAAATAAGTGCTTGAGACTGACGCAAAAAACAAACGACCAAGCCTAAAATCTCCTGGTTACTGAGAAGACCGATAAAGGTACGTCCGCTTATATGTCTGGTCCAGTGGTTAATTCGTTCATGCAGAAGACCTATCAATAAAAATTAATAAATGAACAATTATTGCTAAAATGTTTGTTGCTTAGATTAATATATTAATTAATTAACGGAGCAGATTCGGTAGGCAAATGCTGTCCTGCTCACAGATCTCGTTAGAATATAATATGGAGAAGCGCTGAGAGGCTGAAAGTTTGTGATTATATTATGTTTTATGTTTGAAAAATCCAAATTTTTTTTTTAATTGAATCGGAAAATTTGAATAATCTAGACTCAACAACTGCGCCACCTACTGAGTCTAACTATAGCCAAGAACTATCCATTGTCCATCCATCCATGTCAGTATAACTTGAATTTTTTAGCCATATTTTTTAAATACTGCACTTAAAAAAACAATACTGGTTTGGCGTGAAAGTGACATCGGGATGAAATTGTAACGTCAACAGAAGCGAGAAAAAATGTAAAATCTTTTAATAGGATGGACTTTTTTCTTCGACACGTGTTTTCATATTTCTAATAGTAATGATTTTAAAGGACCTCGTTAAAGTTAGTGCCACAAAAAACTCTATTTTATTGCTACTCGTAGTATAATGGGAGACTTCGAATGTTTATTCAATTTTAACTCATCAGTTTCTACTTATGTTATAGATACTAGCGAAAGTCTAAGTTACTCCTTATAACATCAGCTATCTAGCCAGTGAACGTCGCGTCAAAATCTGTCTAGTCTTCGATGATTAGCCGGAACAAACAGACAGACAAAAATTTTAAAAATTGTGTTTTTCTAATATGATGATGCTATCTATCTTCTTCCTAAAATGTCATCAAAAACTGTTTAGTGATCTGACATGAAAGGTGATAAACAGATAGCCTATAGCCTACATTACCTTTACACTAATAATATTAGCATGGATACATTTTAACGACACAATTTCTCATTTAATGGCAATTTTTTATAATTTATTATAATATATTTTTTATAATATATTTTTTTATATGAAGGTACTTGTTCTAAATGATTATTTGTCAACGTCCAGACCAAGCCCCAAGACGTAGAGGGCTAAAATTTTGACTGCTTATTCTAGTTAGATTCTCATTGAAAATTTATTCATTTGAGATTACAATTAAGATATATTTTTTAAGAGTACTGTTTGAGTTCTTATTGGAATCAATTGTCAAAATATCAAACGAAATTGAATAGAAAAGGGTTGGAAAAGTAAGGAAACGTTAGCATGGATTTTTTTAAAGTATCAAATCACAGAAAAGCAGTCAGATCTGTCTGTTGTGTCTGTGTGTTAAGTTATACTTAAAGATCTATGGACAGATCTGACTGCTATTAGGTAATATAAGTATGATTGATATTTTCCAAAAAATATTTAATGTACAGATTCGACTCGATTAGAATTTTATTATTGTTTTAGGGTAAAATTCAAATTCTGCACAATATCTGTTGATGACTTGTTACGTAGTCAAATTATGTCAGTGTCACGTATTTTTTAGGTTTCTATTACATCGATATTGACTGCAGAAAATCATCTTGTCGGGAAATTTTCTTGATTTAATTTCACTACGTAAATAATTGTGCAAATTAGTGAAAAATGTTAGCAATATTTTACGCAAACAAACTTTAAGAGTAAATAAATAGTTAAATTAAACATCTATTAAACACTGTATAATTTTTTTTTATTATAACGAAATTTGGATTACACTTAACCGATGAGATGCGCCTTGGTAGAGGGTTATTATGGTCATGACATACGAAAATTTAAAAAACACATGACCAAAAAAGTGAAGCAACTTCAGGAGAGACCAACGATTACCTGTGGATCTATGTAATATAATGATGAATATATTACTAATTAAAATCAATAGAACATCGATAAATAATTAGACGAATTCATCACTTGCTCTACTACTTACTGAGGTTTTTCTATAGATTTTATCGCAAAAATATTTGTTTGTAATGTTATACTACAAATTATGTACAAGGTAATTCTTGATCACAGAGTACCGACATTTTTTATTAGACGTTTGCTTGGTAACTAATCTAATAAACAAAATTAAACGCAAGAAGGTTGTTGACTTCGAAACTTTTTTCTAGTAAATCTTAATAAAACTTCTCTTTACCTGAAAGAATCACTAATGTATTTAAAATGAGCCATTTAAAAAAAAACCCCCAAAACAATGCGTGAAATATGCAAAAAATATTAACGACCAATTAAGTGAAAATGGATTAACTATACTCTAAAACTGTATTATGGCGCCAAAAGAGACTAAAGCTTAGAATAATATTACTTACATCTCTCAAACCTTTGGCTGAACGGTTTTGAGCTCTATGCTAGTGTCAAAAAGAGAGTTTAATCTGTGGTTTTATGTTTTATTATGATGGTGGCTTAAAACACATGTGTATAGAGTATAGTTTTTTTTCGCTATCCTAACAGCTCCTGTTATTCCCGATTGATATCCCAATCAGTGCGGTCGTGTTCGTGAGTGCACAGATAATGAAGAGTGGTGTCAATTTGACAGCGCGCCATTTGTGATTTTTTAAATTGTGGAAATTAACAATTGTTTTCCCCTATGGCATAAACAAAAATAATTAAAAACTGATTTCATTGGTGAGCGTTATTTTTTTTAATTATTAACTAAATATTTTAAGCTATTTAAAATAAATAATTAGTAGTTACATATTTATTTGCATATTTTATAATAAAGTTTAATTTTTAAATCATATTAAATATATCAAAAACTCAAAAATTATCCAACTTAATAATTAAATAAATTGTGATAAATAAAGATCTACGTAAGGATAATAATAAAACTAGAGAGCACTTCCTTAGACTAATATAAGGTGGCGAAACAAACACGTGTTGCAAAATGTGTAATAACAATAGTAATTAAATTTATAATTCGCAGATGTACAGGCCACGCGAGACGTTGCTCGGAGAAAGTTTATTTTTACAATAATAGCAAGCCATATGCGGTCATATATACCACATGTCAATTTATCCACCTCTGTATCGGGATTACTGAACTTTAGGCGAATGAACTTATAACCATGGCAGATTATGACCTCATACCTTACGACGACGATGAACCATTCCAAGAGAGGAACGATAATGTCACAGACTTACACGCTTATTACATGTCTCAATTTAATTTGGAGTTAGAAAACGGTAAAGCTAAACCAAAAAATGATAATTTTAAATATGGTGTAGAAGAAAGTTTTGATTTCGAAGTTTTAGATAATTGGAATAATACTGAGAATAATAAAACTGATTTTGAAATCATAGATGAAGTAATTGATAGTAATATTAATGATCAGAATATCAAAGAAGTTTTGTTAGACTTAGATAGTATAGAGTTCGACGATAGCAGCTTCAAATCCGATTCGTGTGATGATAATTCTAAGAAAAATTCTTATTTTCAAACAAACAATGATTATATAGATGACGAATCTTTGATCGATGAACTTTGTAGAGAAGATAGTGAATCATGTCGACTGACACCGGATGCATTTAACGAAGACTATTTAAAAACTGTCTCTAATGAAAATTTATTACCACCCATAGAAACGGCGTTTTCTAAGCGATATTGTAATTATAACACGGAAGAATTTAATGTGCAAGAGAATGTTTATAATACAAATGTAGTGCAAACACCCAATACGCCTATGATTAGTAGTTTAGAACATTATAGCTATCCAAATAATATATTATATAACTTGGATAATGAAAAGAAGTATATTCTGCCCGATACTCCGACCAGCTGCTCAGAATTTAACTTTGATAGAAATTCTAGAAAAGTGTCCATATCAGATTCCATAGAAAGCGATGTACAAAGTTCGGGCTATTATGACGAGAATTCCGAAAATTTCGATGAAGATGAGCTTTTTATAAATTTAGATGAATTTGGTTTGATATTTGAAAGAGATAATGAAGCTGCGAAGATTGATGACAAGGCCGGACAAAATGAGAGACGATCGGAAAAGGACAAAACGCAAGGTAGCTATAATCATGCATAAAAAAATATGAGATATTTAAAAAAAATCATTCATCGTTTTTCGAATATAATATAAATACCTATTATTTTAAAATTACCTTTGCTAAAATAGAGTTTTCAATTTTACTTCACTTTGCATTTAAGAAGATTTTTTTCAAAAAATATTGATTTAATTTAAAAGATTTAAAAAGGTCAAGGACCTGGTCTAAAACACCATAACAATCTTATCTCCAAAACGTCAGCGCAAAGAGAAATATAAATCAAATTTGTTTATATTATAGGTGAAAGGGTATGCTTATGGGAGCACTGTTTCGAAAGATATCCAAATCAAAATACCCTGGTGGAGCACATTGAGAGGGCGCACGTAAATACTTACAAAGGTAAAGATAAGGATGTTTGTCTTTTAGCCATTTTAGTGTAAACTTTTTAATGGATTTAACTAAACGTTTACCTAAACGTTACTTGAATGCTAAATATTTATTATTTCGTTGTTTTTATAATGATGACGTTATTATTATTTTGATCTTCAATTTTATGGAAAACGAGTGACTCCCCCTCGCTTCGCTCGGGTTCATCCCTGGCTTACTTCCCAATACAAACTTTCATCCCCATTTTCAACCCTCTTAAAGGATGATTTCCGAAATAAAAACTATTCTATGCCATTCGCAGGGTCTCACACTATTTTCTTACTAAATTTCATCTAAATCGGTTCAGTAATTCCAGAGATTACTTCCTCCAATCAAACTCACAAACTTACAAACTTTACCTGTTTATATGTAATATAGAATAAACATTTAATATCTAATTGCTTCTTTCCACGTAAAAATATAAATAAAACCTTGAGCATTTGCTCTATAACTAGTCATGTAACTTCTAATCAACTTTGGTTAATAATAGCATACGTACATAAGTATATATATATCTAAATATTTTATAAAAAATATTAGAATGTCAGACTCATTTGTTTCTTGTAACTATGATTCATTTTGTAAATTCCTCTGAATGCATGCAGTTTGAAATATGACGAATAGATCTTAATATAAAGTTAAAAAACTACAGAGCTTTTACATATGCTTTAGTTCTGTTAAAAGTTTTGATATTAATTTGATTAAGGACATACCCATACATAAATAACCATCACTTTTTAATATACCCTCAATAAATTGAAATTGCTCGGTTAAATAAATATTCATATAAAGCTGATATTTACATAGGACTTCTATTTATGTAGGTAAACCTAGGCACAGACGGGCAGTGTTAAAATATTAGTATACATCTACTGCCCGTGAACGGTAAGGTCTAAATACTCGTATGTTACAAATCCACCGCAGCGCGACCATTTACCGCCCAAATTAATTTTTATTTTAAAACTACTGGAAGCATTTCTGTCGCATAAGTCTAAATATTACTAAATTATGTACTACTATTTCTTATTGCACTTATGTATATGTAAAATACAGAAATTAACATAAAATATAATTAGTTAGCAGATGAGGAGTTATCTCTAGAACAGATCTGTTCCAGACAATCTAAGAGAGATAGAGAGATAATATTAAAAAGCAGGCTAAAGTGCAGCTACTCCAATATAAATACTTAAAGAAATACGTTATATATAAATATATAATAAAATATTATATACACTATATACGAAAATATATACAACATATGTACAATGTATATACTAATACATACAAAAATACAGATCGATATAATATGATATATAATAATAGTACTTATGTACATATTTAAGACTGAAATTTTAAATATTAAAGTTAAATATTAAACTATCAAATATTCTATATTGTACTCGTACATCACAAAACATGGCATAAATAAATAAAGGAAGAAATAGCATGTCAGGCGGCCTTATCGCTAACAATAAGTGCGAAAGAGAAAGATCGAGAAGGGGTACAATCAAGTATGTAAAAAACAAAAGAAAAATACCTAAATAGTACATATATGAATTAATCTTTATTTTTGAAAAACTCATATGAGCATCTTTATTTTTTAAAAGTATTTTAGGTATGTTCAAAATATGAGTCTACCTTAGACTTATAAATTATTTATAAAAAGTCGGCTTAAAATTATATTAAGTAATATAAAATAATAGCAAAATCATAATTTTATATTTTCTTTTTCTTTTTCAGGTGATGAATTCAGCTGCCTCTGGCGAGACTGCGCGCGCGCACGTCGTCCCTTCAACGCGCGCTACAAACTGCTTATACATATGCGTGTACACTCCGGACATAAGCCGAATAGATGCCATGTTAGTTACTCATATTTATTTAACACATTTCGCTTTGTATTTTTTGTTATGATGAAACTTGTACTAATTAATAGGTTCTATGTAGTTAATAAAGTATTTGACTGAGGATATTTCTTCAGAAGCTTAATAAAATTGAAAGGAAGTCTCTTTCCTTTGAAGAATTTTAATATTTGAAAAAAAATTAATTAAGAAGCATTAAATTTTAGTGACCTGGTAATTTGTCATAAAAACAGCAGTCTTGGGCTCAAAAAAATTGCATTTTACAATGAAGAAACACTAAATATGGTACATGGGAGACTAATTTACATAATTTTCATTGGTATTTTTAGCTTATAAGAGAAGTACTAGAAAAAAATGGCTCTATTTTAATATATTAATTATTTACTTTACAGCATCCTGGCTGTGGCAAAGCGTTTTCTCGTTTGGAAAATCTGAAAATTCATGTAAGATCTCACACTGGGGAGCGCCCCTACGCGTGTCCCGCGCCACACTGTAGAAAAGCCTTCTCCAACTCGTCCGATCGCGCGAAACATCAAAGAACGCACTTTAATGCGGTAAGATTATTTATAAATACTGATTTATTTGCCGAATTAAAAAGCTATATAGAGTGAGGATTTTTCTCGTTTTAATTTGCAAATATCATAATATTAGTAAATTATTTTCTCAAACTAACTAAAATTATAATAATTTTCCTAACTCTCTAGATTATACCCTTATTATTATATTGTTAAAAACTGTATGAAAATTCGTACAGTAGTTTCTGAGATTAGCCCGAATAAAAAAAATTCTGAGCGCGACGAGGGACTCTAATTAATATATATTTTTAAAGTTTAATGTCATTTTAAACTCGATATACCTTTTTACTTTAAAAGTAATTATTATATCTAACTAATACTTCTTTGTAATATTTTTAAAATAGAATAGGAAATGGTCCTCGCAATGTGCACCTATTTTTAATCTTTCTCTTAGTCACAACAAAAAACAAACTAGCGACTCACCTTCGCTTCGGGTTCGTCCCAAGATTGCTTTCCCATACAAACTTTCATCCTCATTTCCACCCCCATAAGGGATGATTTCCGGGATGACAACTATCCTATGTCCTTCCCACGGTCTCAGTCTTCTTACCACACACTGTACTGCAATAATTTTTATATTTATAAATGTAATGCGTGTCTCTTTTGTTGGGGATCCTAATAAAATATATTAAAAATCTGTAATCGCTCTATATGTTATACATATTATATATACTTTATTACAGAGGCCATACGCATGTGGCGCTATAGGATGTGGAAAGCGCTACACCGACCCATCCTCTTTACGGAAGCACGTAAAGTCGCACCCCCACGTCACACAAGTGCCACGCACCTGCATACCCCCAACAAGACCAATACGACGTACAGAACAACTCGTACCAAGCTCACCAGCTAAGTTGGCTACTTTAAGATGTATACGAGATAAATTAACAGTTCCCAGATTACAGAAACTATAATGTTTTATTTGTTTTTTATATACATATATTTGCTACTAGCGACTCTCTCGTCTTTAGTTGCGTTTTATTATTTAGTACAGATTTCTCAGAGATGAGATATTTTCCCGCAGTAAAAAGTATCCTATATGTTGACCCGAGTATCCAGCTATCATCATACTAAATTTCATTAAAATCTGTATAGTGGTTTTCTCATCATGCGGTCACAGATAGACAGACAAAAATTCTAAAAACTATACATTTGGCCTCTGTATAGATAATATCATCTATTTCGATAAAAATTTCCAAAAAATATTTAATTAAACTCAGAATGATATTATATGTACAGATATAATTCTATTTTCGTAAAATTGGTTTAGACTTGTCATGATTTTTTAATCTATTTTTTAGCATCACTTTCAAATATCATTGAATGTGGTGAATATATTTGAATTGAGTTGATTTAATAATATAGACACTTATTACTGAAGTAGGCGTTATAAACTTTCAATTATTAATTTATATATAATTTTATAATGTAAATAAAACCACGATAAATTAAAGACTGGGTTTATGCTCAAATATTTTAGTTTTTAATGTATATTATAAGAAATGTGTTTAACACATCTCTGTTCAATTAGGTTATGGGACCAAAATCGTAGAATAAGTTTGATGTTAACAGTTAATGAAAAAGCTATTGCTGTTCCATGAATTTAATATTTTTATATGATTTTGAAGTTCTTTTGGTACGTTTGGAAAAAAATATGAGATTAAAATGTTTACGATGCTCGCACACCAACAGCCAAAAAGCGACATGATGAAGTTAGCTGCATTCCTTTTACAAACAGATAGATGTGCCATACGGGATGAAATTTTTAGCTATTTTTGTTCTGTTACGCCAAAGAAGTATAACTTCTTACGTGCATACATAAGTACACACACACGTTTTTTTATTGCTTTTCGTGGCACTGACAGACACAAAATTAAAAAAAAAACTAAATACATACCTATGACTTATTTGCACGAGTCATTGCATGAATATATAAAAAAATATATATTGCGGTCAACATTTGCTTTGTACAATTTGACTTTTAATAAGAAAACCAATATTTTATAAATATACTATTTGTGTCAAACACGATTTTAAAAGACACTTTAATGTTATAGTTTTATACTAATCGGGTTAAGAATAACCAATAATAATGGATATTAGTCTACCCTTTTGCATATAGGCAAACCTCAGAATGAAAGGTATTATAAGTAGTCCACTAAAAATCTTATAGGTATAGTAGACAAAATAGTTATTAAATTTCATACTTAGATTAAATTCTTATTAAATGGGGCACCTAATATCGTTCCGTGTCCTATATTTATTTGTACCAGATTATAAAAAGCATCTGCATCAGATTTATAAACAAACAGAGCCCTTATAAATAATGCTCTACTTTCTAATAGGTACGTCGGCAAGTTGAATACAATGAAAAAATACGTTAGGAATTTTAAGCCACGACGCTTTCCCAACAAAATTATTTATAAGTTACTAGCATTGCCCGCGGCTCCGCCCGCGTTCAGATGACCAAAAACCAAATTCTTAGGTTTTACATATTAGTATACTCTTACGTTGCAGTTTTTGTATTTTTTCTCAGAAATGGGATATTTTCCCGCAGTAAAAAGTATCCTATATGTTGACCTGGATAACCAGCTATCACCATACCAAATTTTATCAAAATCCCTCCAGTGGTTTTTCTGTGATACGGAATTTTTGTCTGTCAGTCTGTTGACAGACAGACAAAAATTCTAAAAACTATAGATTTGGCCTCTGTATTGTTAATAATGTTTATGTCAATAAGATTTTCCAAAAAATATCGAATGTACAGATTCGGCTTAGTTACAATTTTATTATATGTATAGCTATATAAATAAGCGCTTTAATTATATAAGAGCTTTAATTATTATTGGTTTTTCTTAGCCCTTTTAAACTAAGTGACTCTTCCAATTACACCTATTATTGCTCAATTATGTTAAAAATTATATCTATAACATGTTGTAAGTAGATAATTTTATTATTAAACTAAATACATTGTTTAATGAACTATCGCTCAATGGTTATGATTATTGAAATGTTTTCTATGTTAATTTGTAAGTATATTATGTAGTAAATAAGATTTATGCCGTTTTACAATGAACGTCACATCGCTGCTAATATAACTGTCTGTTAAATAACAAAGCCAAACATTTAGCTGATCTTTTGTTCGAAGTTATTCTGTAATAGATTTTTGTAGCAGTGAGAAATTGTCTACTAACAACTCTCGTTTATTGTATTGGGAATCGGTTTATTAGATTTGGAATACTGTTCCTCCTCAGTCTTGTGTACACAATACTTCCAGATCTCTTCAAATCAGCAGCCAGGGAGTTGACATGTTGGGTTAGTTTATACTGGTAGGTATGACTACGGGCAGCGATTTCTTGTTTCATAGTCATGAGCTTAAGATCTGGCATAACGTATTTATTATGTGTGCACTTAGGGAAGTCAAACATGGATCTAATGGCTTTGGTTTGAAACGTTTCCAGAATGTCAATATCATATTTCAAAATATTAATATTTTTATATATTGTCTTACCTTGTCGTGGTGGGGGGCTTATTAGCGTCCGGTAGTTCAGCCGAGCGCGAAGCCAAGAAACGTACAGGGAGGTGGCCCACTTCGGTGTGTAGTGTACAATGAGGGATGCTTCTGGTACTTCTCTGGTAGCAGAAAGGTCCGCTGGAGCAACCCCATGGTTGTTGTGGTCTGCTTCGGCCCACCTGCTGTCGGGGAGTCGTGGTTGAGTGCGTAAGCGATCCTGCGACGCCCCATTAAGACGGGGAAGGTTTTGTTGGATTTTAGAGGGTAGTACTGGTTTTTCTAGCCGGTGAGCCCCACCTAACCACTAATATTTGACAAACAGACAAACAAAACAAATACTCAATGTTAGTTCAATCATTTTTTAATTATTACAGAAACATTTAATCTATATTCTTATATCATAAATATTACAGCTTTTACCCACATTTATATGAGAATAAATGTGAGAGTACTTTTTTATATAAAAATAAGTGATGTTTTACGTAAACGGCGATAATGTACAAAAGTTGGATGCTTTCCAAAGAATCTCCTTTGTTAGTATTTTTTATAAGGTCATTTCCATATAAGATCTCCTTTTTGCTCACTTAATATTTTTTTGCTACTTAAGATAGGCTAAGACAGCTGCTGTCGAAGATATTGCTCATTTTTTTAATAAAATTAATCGAAAGTTTTATGTGGTTTTCTTTTGTTATCCCCTTATCTTTAGGTTTTTATTTAAGTCAAAGACGACAAAGTAAAGATCAACTCAGACACATCGTAGTTATTTTATAAATGCGAAAGTTTGTGAGGATGTATGGATATTTGTTACTCCTTCACGCAAAAACTACGCTACTGAAAGGATTTTAATGAAACTTTACAATAATATAGCTCATATATCAAAATAACACATAGAAAAATGTACGGTGCCCGTGAAATAGATTTGTTTTTGTATTTTTTTCGTCTTAGAAATAATCGTTTTAGAAATAATTGAAAGGTTTCCTAGCATTGCAAATCTCCACAAATATTAAGAAAATATCCTTGTACCGCGTTACAAGTCGTATAAAAACATGAATAAGATTTTCTAATAACTAAGCAATCGATCGTCCCGTCCCAGTCCCCAGATTGAACCTACGATCACAGTAATATTCGATGTAGTAAACATGTCATAACTATGCTTAGTGGATAATAATGACATATAAATATATCATGATAATTTACGTTTTTGCTATTGAACTTTGAAGTAGTTACTAATTAACCTAACTAGTATAAAACTCACGTATTTGTTCTCATATAAGAAAAAGATTAATAATTATTATTTTATTATCTGTATAATTTATACTATCTACTTATACTAATATTATAATGCAAAAGTATGTGAGGATGTATGAATGTCTGTATATAAAGATGTATGGATATTTGTTACTCTTTCACGCAAAAGCTACTGAATGGATTTTAATGATACTTTACAATAATATAACTCATTCATCAGAATAACATATTTTATCACAAAATGTACGGTATCCGTGGGATAGATTTGTTTTTGTTTGTCTCGAGTCGCACCCGAGCGAAGCGAGAGTGAGGTGCTAGTATGTAATAATATGATTCATTTTCTTTTGTTAATCAGGTCATTAAAAATCATGTAGATTTCAATTTGCTGTCATTCGAGTTCTATTAAAGAAATTACTTTTTTTTAGAAATTTGGTTCCTACACGTCTTTCTTGTGTAAAAAAAACTTAGAACATTTAAATATTTTTAAAACTTTTTGAAATTTTAGGTATATCCCACACCTACGGTATTTTTAAAATTATGTACATAGAAGATGAGGTCCCGAGCGAACAACTTTGTCAGCATAACTTTTGAAAAACATGATCTAATTAATTTGCCCATTGAACACTTGAGGTCACTATTATCTTAGTACTTACATTGTATCTATCGCCTGGGTCACATATTACACGTGTGTATTTAAAGTATATAAGGTTTGGTATCAGTTTAGACAACCCGAAGTGATCTTCTCGAGCATCGACAGTAGTTGGCTTGGATCGGTTTGTCACCAGCATGAAGATCTTGGTCCTAGCGGCCTTTATTGGTAAGTATTTTTTTATTTCTTCTTTTAAATTAATTAATAATACAGTGCTAGTAGAATAAATATATTTGAAAAATTTCGTATTTATATAGTGTATTATTAAAATTTATTATAAATAATTTAATTATATATTTTTTTGTTTTTTAAAAAATATATTATATCGTATAATATAGGTCTATTATGGAGTAAAATATACTATCTTAGTTAATAACTTTTCTACAAATCATATTTTTTTATTAATGACTAAAATTTATTAAAATATTAAAACCTACATTTATTATTATTACAATATTTTTATTTATTCTTTTAAATTAATTAATAACTTTTCTACAAATCATATATTTTTTTATTAATGACTAAAATTTTTAAAATATTAAGCTTTAAAATTATTATTTATAATAATAATTATTAATTTTTTTGCCTTTGGTAAGTTTCTTTTCATTTATTATTTTAAATTAATTTATAATATAGTGCTAGTACAATAAATATAGTTGAAAATCTCGGATTCATATTGTGTATAGTTAAAATTTATTATAAACAATCAATTTAAAGTTTTTTTTTCAAAATAAAACATTAATTATTATTTCGTATAATATAGGTCTATTATGGAGTAAAATATAACTATCTTAGTTAAACACTTTGTCTACAAATCATGATTTTTTTTATTAATGACTAAAATTTATTGAAATATTAAAACTAAAATTTATTATTATTACAATTTTTGCCTTTATTGGTAAGTATGTTTTTTTATTTATTCTTTTAAATTAATTAATAATATAGTGCTAGTACAATAACTATAGTTGAAAATTTCGTTTTCATATTGTGTATACTTAAAATTTATTATAAACAATCAAATTAAAGTTTTTTTTCAAAAAATATATTATTTCGTATAATATAGGTCTATTATGGAGTAAAATATACTATCTTAGTTAAACACCTTTTCTACAAATCATTTTTTTATTAAAGACTAAAATTTTTGAAATATTAAAACCTAAATTTATTAATATTTATAATTATTACGATTTTTTAAACTTTAGGTTTACATGGTTTTTGTCCTTGAAATGAAAAGTATTTTTTCTTAACAATTAAGGTGCCCTGAGTTAAAAAAAAAACAATTAAATAATCCAACACGTCAACTTTCCAAAATATATATTTATTTGAATTTACAAAAAAATACATACAAAAATATATAAAAAAATGCCCTAGCTTTTTTCTTGTATTTATTTGCATCTGTATCTCTTATAATAGACCAGCAAAGTCACTTAACATAGCCTAGTTCCAGTATCTTTGATAATTTTGCTCAAAAAAATTAATGTCTTGTGAAAACCCTCTCTATATTCGTCGCTGACGTGTCCAAGTCTTTCATAGAAAAAATCGAGGTGCGAGTGAAGGAAGTGAACTTTCAGAGACATGTGGACACCCATTTGTTGAAAATCATTTAATAAATCGGCAATTAACTGTGGGTAATTTTCATTATTTTGTTGCCTTAGAACTCTTGTCATAACAATTCGTAATAAATTCCAAGCAGAACTTTCAGTGTCTGAAAGCTTAAAATAATTTTTATATATTTGGGCTCCCTGTCACCTACCCTATCCAAAAATACCACCAAATCCGCCAGGGGCCGCGTCCCATATACTAAACTTGTGCCGATTTTTTTCCGTATAAAATATACATATATTCGTATACATATAATACTTTCTTAGATTTACATAAATATTTAATATTTTGAATAAACTACCCTTTTGGATTTTTTTCGCGGATTTATTTTGATTTTTGGTACCCGATGTTTTGAATGCTTTACAGCAATCATGGTCACGAGAGAGACTAAGGCTTAAGACGTCTCTTAGGCATTATATAATTTTTACAGACAGTGCCACTGCCTACCCGCAAAGTTACAAAATTAATTCAAAAAATATAAAAATGGCACTAAAGTACCTTTTTATAATTTTAATAAGTTTTATAATTGAACATGGAATTATTTAATGTTAGCTCTTACATATTATTATATTTTATCGTACATATTTAATATTGGTATTATTATATTTCTAAACACAAAGAAAACCACATTTTAATTATTGAAGCCATATTATTATTGATCTATATGTAATTCAAAATATAAAAAAATCAAGAATAATAATTTTAATTCAGTTTGCTATTATTTATAATCAAAGTATTTTAATTAAAATTAACAAAAAAAGGTATTTTGGCCATTTTAGATTTTTTGAATTGGTCTTGTAATTTTGTGGGTAAGCTGACTGTAACTATAATATAATGTCTTTGAGACATCAAAAACCTTAGTCTCTCCCGTGACAATGATAAGTGATCGCTGTAAAGCATTCGTCGGGACCCGAAAACCAAAATAAATCTGCGGAAAATCCGAAAAGATAGTTTTATTTAAAATATATATGTATAAATAAATATATAGTCACTCTAAAAAAGTTTATAATTAATAACTGAACTATTTTTGAAAATTTTCAATTTTCTTAGTGAAAAGCAAAAATATGAACGCAAGTTAACAGAAAATCATTTCAAAACAGTAAATTAGTAATATAATAATAACATTGTCACCCCAAACTATAAAAAACTGTAATGTGTTTTTATTTAAATTAATATGTTATATATATAACAAACCTCACATATTTTTTGAGAACTTATTTATAGATAAACGTAAAAATTCATAAAAAAAAAATTAGTATGGGAAATTTTCCTGTGGAATTGAACGCCTAAATTTAATCGATTCACGGGTTACCTACGGCAAAGCTTCCCGTATACTCGTATATCGGGCGAATAGTCACTTCGTTTGAAATACTGAACTTTTGCCAAGATTTCAGATTCAATTTGAATGTTTTAAAATATAACAAAAATCAATTCTTAGTCAATAACTATAACTAATGAAATAAATTTGGAGGAATATTTCATAATATCTTATTAATTATTTCTTTTTTATTTACAGTGGCCGTGTCCTCGGGCCGCCTCGGTGGGAGCAAAAGCGCTAAAGTAGTAGAGGGAGAAAAATCGCAATGGCCCTGGCAAGTCGGAACTTTGTATCACTACGATGTAGAAGCCCACAACTTGGCATATTTTCAAGAAAGTGCTAGTACTGGTAACTCCTTCAGAGCTCGTTTTACGGTCCGTGTTAAAGCTCCAGGATATCTTCAAGCTAAGCTGGAAGATCCTCAAAATGCTCTAGTTCACCAAGAGCTTAAAATTCATGAGCCCTTGCCAGTAGACCTCAAGTATCAGCCAGTTGCAAAGCTTGATGTGCCTTTTGAAATTTACTACGATGGCGGAAGAATACTGTCCCTCAATTTACCAGCAAGCGTCTCACTGGCACATGAAAATTTACTAAAGGGTCTTATTGGGGCACTTCAAGTGGACTTAACTACTAACCGCAACGTCCACAGCTCACATGACACTTATGATAAAGAAAGCCAGCAAGGTTTATTCAGGAAAATGGAAACTGACGTCACTGGTGATTGTGAAACTCTTTACACGGTATCACCTGTTGCTGCTGAATGGAGGAGGGAATTACCCACGTTTACTTCTGAGGAAGATCCTATGGAAATAACAAAAAGCAAAAATTATGGCCATTGCCACCACAGAGTTGATTATCACTTTGGTGTACCTCAGGGTGCTGAATGGTCTGGTACTGTTCATAAACCAAGAAAGGAACAATTCATTCAAAGGGCTATGATCTCTAGAATCCTTGTAGGCAAGAACGGTCCAATTTACAAGTCTGAAACTACTAATACTGTTAAAGTACACCCACACTTATATGGCAAACAGAAAGCAGAAGTGCATAGTAAAGTTAGTTTTTATTTAGTATCACAAGTGCAAGATTCAGAACCAGAGTGGCCACTTCCTGAAGATGTTCGAGAAGTTCAAAATCTTTTGTACTCCTTGACACCTAAGCAAATAATTATCGATGATGATAGTTCTTCTTCGTCCTCTGAGTCAGTAGAAAATCATATTAACGTGCAAAAGTACAATCGCGAGCGTCGATCAGTGCGACCAAAATCAGTCGTAGCAATCAACAAGGTTATTATCAAAAGGAGAAGTGAAGAGGGAAGTTCATCTAGTTCCAGTGAGTCTGATTCTGCATACGTCAACGATAATATACCTAAATTCAATGAACCTGCATACGCCGCCTTGTATATGAACCCACAGCCTCATAATGATAAGAAACAAAACCCAATGAATGCACAAAAACTAGTACAAGAAATTGCACAGCAACTTCAAAATCCTAATAACATGCCTAAAGTCGATTTACTTTCTAAGTTTAATGTACTTGTACGTGTTATCGCTTCCATGAGTTATGGTCAACTTAGCCAAGCAAGTCGAAGCATTGAAATTGCCAAATCAAGTAGTGACAATGTGAAATCTGACATGTGGATGGTTTACCGAGATGCTGTTGCGCAGGCCGGTACTTTACCAGCTTTCCAACAAATTAAATCATGGATTCAAAGCAAGAAATTAGAAGGAGAAGAAGCAGCGGAGGTCATATCTTCTATGGTCAAGAGTCTGCGATATCCAACTAAAGAATCTATGGTACAGTTCTTTGAATTGGCTATGAGTCCAGAAGTAAGCAGCCAGGTGTATCTTAATAGCAGTGCTCTCATTGCTGCTACCACTTACATAAACATGGGCCAAGTAAATAATGAAACTTCTTACCGTTATTATCCTACCCATATGTACGGTCGTCTGTCACAGAAACATGATCATTTCGTAGAGCTAGAGATCTTACCTCGTTTAACAGCTGCATTTAGGTTGGCCATGGAGCAAGGAGATACTCATAAATCTCAAGTATACATCAAAGCCATTGGTAATCTAGGCCACGGAGCTATATTGGATGTCTTTGCGCCATATCTCGAAGGCAAAGTCCCTACCTCAACTTATCTCAGAACGCGTATAGTTGAGAGCCTTAACGTTTTAGCTTACCAAAGAGACAACCGTGTACGTGCTGTGCTGTTCAGTATTTTGAAAAACACAGCTGAACCTTATGAAGTAAGAGTAGCTGCTATACAAAATATCTTTATGGGTCACCCCACTAGCGCCATGATGCACGCGATGGCGTACATGACTAAAGAAGATCCAAGCATGAATGTACGTTCTGCCCTTAAATCTGCTATAGAATCTGTTGCTCAACTGAAACATCCTCGCTTCTATGAAATGTACGTATACTAAAAATTATAAAATTATAATAATAGTGCTTAGTAAGAAAGATAAGCTATAATGTTTTATTTTTATTAACAGTGCAAGAAATGCTGAAGCAGTGAAGGATATGCTTACAAAGGAAGACTTTGGAGTACAATACTCCAAGAAAAACCTAATGGAATATTTTGATAGAGATGACCAATATGGCTTAATGTCTATTTTATCAACAATAGGTAGCGAAGACAGTTTATTCCCTAAATCAATGAAATATTCATGGAAAACTAGAGTTTCTGGCTGGGATGAAGAAGCGATGGTAAGCATTTGACTTGAGCCTGAGGTTTTAGTTTAAATAAATCATTATAATTAATATAGTTTGTACAAGTCATTCTTTAATTTTATATTTAATTACAGTTATGGACTGCTGCTTCTCATGGACAAAAGGTCGTCGACTATTTCTTTGATCAAATTTTCGGAAATAAGAGAAATAGCAAAAGTGATGTTAATCATAAATATTCTGCTAAGAAGATATCTCAAATTTTAAATATCAATCATGTAGAAGAACCTTTGGAAGCGTCCATTTTTATCGACATTATGAATCAACAGCGTTATTTTGCTTTCAATGAACAAGATATTAAAGATTTTAGTGTTAAAGTTGGCCAGTACTTATCAGATCTCATTAAAGGTGTCAACAAGCACTATACGAAAATCGTAAATCGTAACCAGGTGTCAGTAATGTTCCCCATTGCTTCTGGTATGCCTTTCATATATAAATATAAAGAACCAACAGTAGTACATATACAAGCCAGTTCAAACGGCAAGGTTGATTTTAAAAATAGAGAAGATTATGATATGATTATTGATAAAGACCTTTGGTTTACTTTTGCAACTAATAACGATGGAAGTGTTGGTTATTTGGATACTTTATCAAACCAATATCCTACCGTGGGTCTCGTCAGAAAATTCCAACTACATGTTCCTGTCAAAGTGCACTTTGAAACAAAGCGTGGAGAGGTTAAGTTAAGACTGGCTCCTAAAGAACCTGAACAAGACAGTACCGTTGTTCACTATAGTGTTTGGCCCTATAGTAGCAGTCAAAAGAAGGATACACTAGTAACTTTATCACAAGACCCCAGCACGAAAGTAATAGCACGGCCCAACAAAGTTGTTACTGTTGATTACAAATTCGGACAGCAAATCGGACAATTGTTCCAAGTCCAAGGGTATTCTTATTCTAATGATTACAGAAACTTTGGTAATTTCTTACAATACAAAGATGTCGTCTCAAACATTGTTTCTGCATTTAGACAACAAGACATTGCTCAAACCCACTTCAACTTAAGATATCTTGGAAAGCAATCTAAAAACAAGGAAATAACTTTCACGGCTGTGTATGGTAATTATTTTGTTAATGTAATTAATTAAATTTAATAATATAGAACACTACATGTCATTTTAATATATATTTTTTTTATTATAGATACTCTTTACAACCAGATGAATGAAGGTGAAATGCCCTCTGTAGCATCAGATATAAACGATGTTACACCTAACAGCCCTGTGCGACGAGAAGAGCTAGTTAAGCGTGTTACAGCTGGCATCAAGGCAGCAAGAAGCCAAGTCTTGGATTTAAGTCTTCAAATTGAATCACCCGAGAAATTAGAGTATGTCCTGACATTTGTTGTTGGAAATAGTCAAGTAGATCATAAAATTCAGTATGCCTTCTTCGCCAGCAAAAACTTAGGACAAACTTCAAATCAAATTAACGCCGTTGGTACACTCACTAAACCTCTTTTAATTAGCCCCATGAATTTCCATGATGCAATTCAACAAGAGCTGAAAATGATTTTTGAAGCAGATATCCGTTATAATCAGAAAGAAAATATCCACATTCAAGGCACCACCGAAAGAACAATGAAATACTCTGAGGAACTTCAGAAACATCCTATAGGTGTACAATGTATTCGAGAAATAGAAACTGGAAATTACTACCAAAGAGCATGCCATCAAGCAATTATTATGGCACATGCTCCAGATAGCTTCAAATTCGCTGTCTCTTACAAAGATGTCAACCCAATGGTGAAGAGCGTTTTCCACCAAGTATATCGAATTGCTCAAAGTTTTGGAATTTGGCATTTAGAAAGCAATGATCAAAAAGTAAATCCTGTAGGAAAAATCGACATTAATGTAGATGCCTCATATTTAAGCCAAACATTAAACTTTGAGTTGAAATCTCCATTAGGCGAAATGCGTTGGAAGAATGTTCGCATTCCAAAATCTTCTGCGGTTGCTTTCGCCACCTATTGGCCAATTAAGCCTTATGAACGAGTATGGAACTATTACACTAGTCAACAATATCAACGTAAGTAGCTTTTTTCTCTTTTTTTATTTTAAGCTCATTTTATAGTTCTTATTGTTTTAGATCACTCTAAGTGTATATAATTACTACATACGCACTAGGCTATTAAGTTTTAAAATATTCTATAGATTTTATGATATGCTATATATATATATACTAGAAACACTATTAGAGATCTATTAGTTCCCATGGGAACCGTTAAGTTACTATAGTTTTTAACTATCCCACGGGAACTCTTAAATTTTCCGGAATGAAAGTGACCAGGGATATAAGGTATGCAAAATTACATTTAAATCGGTCCAATAGTTTCGGAGATTAGCCCGTACAAACAGATATATATATATATATAATATATATATATATATATATATATATATATATATATATATATATATATATATATATATATATATATATATATATATAATATATATATATATATATATATATATATAATATATATATATATATTTAATTTTTTAAATGTATAAGTGTTCTTTTGGAAATATAATAATAGCTTTATTTCTTTCTGCCTTAATACGTATATAAAAATTGTATATTTTTGGAGAGGCTTACCTCTGCTAAAATTTCACCCTTCGCCACTGATATATATATATATATATATATATATATATATATATATATATATATATATATATATATATATATATATATATATATATATATATCACTGATATATATATATATATATATATATATATATATATATAGGTATAAAGAAAAGTCGGGTTTGTTACAACAATTATAACTCGAGAACTGCTGGATCGATTTTTATGATCTTTGTTTTGTTGAATTTGTCTTCGCCCCGAATAGCAAAATAACTATTAAAACATCGAAAAAAAATGATAATAAGAAATCTATTCCTTACTAAGCGTCAAAACGCACTTATGGATGAACCTGAGCAAAGCGAGGGTGAGTCTCTAGTAATTACATAATTATATTTAACATATCAATTCATTAAAATATGATATTATTTACAGCTTACTGCAGTGTCGACAAGAGCATGGTGAGATCGTTCAGCGATCGCAGCTACAACTATACATTGACGAGCTCTTGGCACGTTGTTCTCCATGACGATAGAGTATCCAACTCCGATGTTTTGGTTGTACTTGCAAGAAGACCAAACGAAAAACAACAAGAGATCTACATCTCCTACAGGTATTGTTTACTTTTACATTTTAAAACGAATATCCTGCCACTAGACCATAATATTAAAATTATGTATAAATCTTAAATTATTGCTCACAGATCATTCACTGGTGTGGATTTGGAGATCGAATTGCATCCAGCTCCAGTAGGACAGAAGAATCATGTAGTCAAAGTGAATACGAATGCAAAGAAGGTGTCAGAAGGTGATCTTACCACATACTGGGATGACGTTGATCAAACTCCTGTACTTGAATACTACACTGAAGGAAATGGTGTTCTAGTTTTGAAAATTCGTGAAAATCGTCTTAGAGTTATGTACGATGGATTACGATCAGTCATCCAAGCCAGTGAGAAACGTAATAATGTCAGGGGCGTTTGTGGATACATGAGTGGCGAACCTCGTGATGATTATTTAACTCCAAATGGAGTAGTCGATAATCCTGAGTACTATGCAGCTTCTTATGTCCTTATTGATGAAAATAGTGAGCCGGTAGAAAAGGAAAGGCTAGAACAAGCTAAGAGAATAGCATATCAGCCACGTAATCGGTACACTACCGTCCTGCGATCAGATGAAGAGTGGAAAAACGAGATTCGCTTAGCTTCTGAAGAGCCCTGGGGCTCCCAAGTTATATACAGAGCGAGGAACTACCTCAAAGAAAAAATGCCCTGTGAACTAAGACCCCAAGTCCAGTATTATGAGAACCAAGGTGAGATCTGTATAACGACTACCGCCTTACCAGCGTGTCAGTCGCATTGCAGCGGTGAAGGTTATGAGATTAGGCCGGCTCAAGTAGTTTGTAAGTCAAAGTTTGACATACAATTCCGTGCAGTGCGGGACCAAATCCGTCTTGGTCAAAATCCACAAGTTAGCGGAGTTCCCCAGAATACCCAATTCAGAGTCCCTGCCTCTTGTGTAGTGTAAAATATTCCAATATTATTGCAACATTAACAACTTGGCGTTATTATATGGAATCCGAAAAAATAATGATATTATAATATTATATTATTTAACAAATAATTATATATTGTTATATAGCTTATTTTATATTTATATTTTTATAAAAGTTCTGGCATTATAGCATTTATGTATGAATGAAAAAATATTGATTGTACTATTTATTATTATTATTTATGGATTTATGTATTTATTTTTCTTTGTCATTTATAGTATTATTATATATTATAAGATTAGAATAGTAATAAGAAGCAATGTAAAAAATTACAAAAAAAGAAATATATTGTTTTATACTTACTGATGCAATTCTGTTTTAATTTTATGAACATCATTCTAAATTAACTTAAAAAAGCAAAAAAAAAATACATTTACATAGAATAACTCAAATACTTAGTATAAAATACACTTTTAAATTCTTTGAGAAAAGTCACAATATTTTTAATTAACATCGAAATATCTTTTGATAACAAAGCTGATATTTATGTAATGAAAAACTCTATTACTATTATTTGTAATTTTTTTTTAATAATTTGCCTTCAATGACATAAATATTAGTTAATTTAGCTGCGTGAAACGAACATAGATAATAAATACGTCTCGATTATACCGCATCGCGTCAGATATCAAATATCAGCTGTTTGTCACTTCATAGCTGACCGGAGTTTTGCAATTCGATTACAATTTGCTTAGTCAGTAAGTGTATGTAAAAATGGCAGTGTAAAAAATATTGTAGCGCAAATAATAATATGTATTTTCACTTATGTTAAATTGTACTTTTTTCAAGGCCTTTTCCTGTGACTGTGTTTAAAAATCAAATTCGTGATCGTTCATCGATCGTGATGATTCATTTTGAATTTCGAATCTCAGTAAGTATTTTGTTTTATACTATATTAAATGTTTAAAATTAAAACAATATATAAACAATAAATAAGTCTACATACAATCATTGTTTATTAATTTAAAAAAATAAATTACAATCATCCATGGATATAAAATAACTAATGTTTTGATTATTTAAAATGTATAATATGTTACATTATTTTGACTTATAGTTTACTGAAAAGCTTTTAGGATTTAAAAACGTGGCTTGGTCAATACATGTGTTTTTTATACTCAGTATCTTTGACCATTTACTAAGTAAGAGCTAATTATCTTTAAATACTTGGGGTATTAATAGTTCCATAAAATTAGGTCCAGAAAAGACAAATAAAACAATACCTATATGTTTTGTATGTCCACATGTCTTACAAGTTGAGGCCCTAGCTTTACAGAAGTCTCCATGTCTCTCTCTGCAGCCACTTGTTTTATACTAGCTGGTTCCTGAAAGTATTTATAGGATGATCCTTAAATTTGGCCCACATCCTCTGATGCTGTTAACGCTGATAGGACCAATAGCACACATAAGAAAATTGTAGACATATTAGCATTTTATTGCCTGAAAGAAATCGGCAAGATCATGGATTTAGGTTTAGATAGATTTAGATAAAGGATAAACGAATGAATTATAACTTTTATAGTTGTTTATAGTCTAGATGTGACAAAATAGGATATATTCTTACAATAATAACATACATATCTATAGTAAAAAAAGTTTGTAACATAAATTTAATGAATTTTTAATAAATTAATTTAAATTTAAATATTTACTTTCCAAAATCTTTTTGAAGACTTGCATTATAAATTCCTGAAATAGTGATATTAATAATATATCTTGGTCATTGTTCATTTTGTTTTCACACATAATACAAAGATTTCAATAATTTTTGTATCTGTGTAAATCATGTCCCCTGATAAGTACTATTATGAATGCTTTAATTGTATTGTTTTATAGAAAAAAAATGCTCTTTGTAGTGAGCAAATTTTCAAGATAAAAAATATTTTTGGATTATATTTTACAATGAGATTTAATTTTAAATTTTCATTATTATATATACAGAAAGAACCTTTAATTACTTGAGTCTGATTTATACTTGACCATTTTTTACACCAATCTTAATAATAGTAAAATCAATTACACTAATCTTATTAATAGTAGCATATTTATATGAATAATGATTTAAAAGATGAGACATTTGACTCAGTTTGTAGTGACCCTACTTGCTGTGCCAGTGGACGCAAGTTCGAGCCCTGCTAGGGTCATACATTTGTTTATGAGCACAAATGTTTGTACTCCAGTCATGGATGCTTATATTTATAATATGTATTTATTTAAAGCTATATATGTATAGTGTATTAACTATCTGGTATCCATAGCACAAGTTTTGTAGCTCTTACCATGGAACTAGATGGCAGTGTGTGTTAATGTCCAAGCATATTTTATATTTATAATGATTTCTATTTATACTAACTTATCGAATAATAACAGTATAATTATTCTTATAATGGTTATACTAATATTTATGATTCAACTTGCAATTCACTCTCAATTCGATTGGGTCCGTCCCTAGGTACGTTTTAATGGTTAGTATGGAATGATAGACTATATGTATTATATATAAATAGGTACAGAATAAACAGTTCTGAACATTGCGATTTTCCCTATTTTTTATACTTAAACCACCCCTGACACACCCCCAACGAAACAAAAAAAAATATTGATATTGGTCGAGCCGTTTTTGAGTTTAAGTGAGACTAATGAATGGCAATTGATTTTTATATATATAGATGGTAATTCAGATGTACTAATTACTTTCAATAAAGTGCCTGCCATACTTTTGCAGCAGTGACATAAACCAAATTTGCTATAAAAAAATATCAGGCATAAAAGAGAAAACCAATGAAAACCTGTTTTAAAAAATATATTAACACAATAAATGCATGGAACAACATTATAACTTAATCACATAAATATTTTGAATTTGAACTAAATAATGTACATATTATAAGAAAATATTTTTTTCCTAACACAGTAGTATTACAATACTACTATGACTCCACCTATTTATATATTTCTATTTTTAACCGACTTTAAATAGAGTGATTCTCAATTTAGATATATGGCCTTTTTGTATTTATTTTATGTTATCGAGCGACGTCCAGTCTTTTTCATCCGGAAGAAGAAGTCAAATTGGCCGTCTTGATTGAAATACTGCTAGACATAGGCCTCCCCTAAAGATTTCCACGTCTACCGGTTTCGTGCCTTCCGCATCCAGTGGGTTCCAGCGATTGACCAAATCGGCGGTCCACCTTATGGGAGGTCTGCCCACGCTTCGCCTTTCGGTGCGTGGCCGCCACTCGAGAATTCTGACCCCAACGACCATCCACTCTTGACAACGACGATACGATGTGCCCTGCCCATTGTCACTTAAGCTTGGAAATCTTCAATTCAGCGGGCTATATCAGTGACCTTGGTCTTTGGCATATCAAATCAAAAGCAAAAGTAGGCATAATTCCATTATTATTAAAAAAAATTGTATTTGTTGACGGTACATAATTATAAATCATTGTACCTAATTGGCAATTGACGTCATTTATTTGAAGGTGTGTTTTGTTATTAGCAGCGTTTTACCTACCAATAAAACGCATATTAATTTACTTACCTTATTCGAAGCTTACGTATTGAGATAGGCATTACCGTTTCCGCCGTTTATATATCTATCCTTGTCTATCCGTCTACTGTCTCGCTCTCTATCGCACCACCTGGCAGGAGAGTGGGGATCGGTGTGAACGATTCCCACTCTTAAAATTATTTCTTCATTGAGTCGAGATACACCAGGCAGTTATTCAAAGTTAAGCTTCGAATAAGGTAAGTAAATTAATATGCGTTTTATTGGTAGGTAAAACGCTGCTATTAATTTGACTTGACCGTTATTCGAAGCTTACGTATTGAGACTTGTTTGTTATCGCCTGGTGGTGCAAGCGTAGGAGACGGACGCCAATGTGATGAAATAAACTCTGCTGTATGTAACTGAAACACTGAGATGAGATTTATACTAAGACCAAAATAAACACTTAATGCAGTGCTTTTCCAAAGTCCTTTTACAAATAAAAAATAAATTATATTGTAGATAACACAACTCAACAAGGTATTAATACAACATGGGAGACATCTCCCTGGCCGATTACGGCCTCGGTCGCCAATGTTTCAGAAACCATCTGCCCTCGAGATGTTATGGTTTAAAAGTGTGTTCACTTAACATGACCAAGTTTATTCTTACTTACACTCTCCCAGTCCAGTGATCAGGCCCGAAGCCGAGACCCTAGACCATTAGACCTTGAGAAAAACTAATATCTAACATTACTATGCGCGACCTGATACTCGAACAATAATTTCAATAACTAACATTAACAATTAATGCGTTTTAAAATTCCAATTTTAGTTAATAATAAATTAATAAATTCTTCTGAAAACACACACTAGTTGACTTTCAATTCCTCTTCATTATTAATAAATAGTGCGCCCCATTTTATACCATTTCTTTAATAACTCTGAAGCCCATTGGTTTGGGAAACCAACTCTTTACGTATATAAAAAATAAATAAATCAAATGTAACAACGCTTAAGACTTGATAATGGCTTTGGAAGTGCCTATATTTATAGATAGAGAGATACCTCAAGAGATGAGATGATAACTATGGTAGGGAAAGGTCGACTTCGCACGATACTAACATATGTTGTAGGTAAATAACAATAATAATAGGCTAGTAATAATACTAGGCTGAGATCTAGTTTCCTTTAAAGAAAGCTCAGCTAAACGAGTCATTGTTTCGTCAAAGTGACTCGCATTCAAATTAAAAATTCTAATAATATTATTTAATTTTAGAATAATAATTTCTTAGATTTACACGAATATTTGACAATCCGAAAAGATAAATATTTAATTTAGAATAATTACAACGCCTAACGTAAATCCTTTCCATAAGTGTGCCAAAAATACCATAACGGAAATATACTGTTAAAAATGTTCGCATACACATTGGTGTAAAATTTATGATTTTTTAACAATGACATACGTATACGCATA